TCCAATCCACTGACCATTGTGGATGTGGATGTTGCTGGCTGGCCAGCATTTATTGCCTGTGCTGTAGGTAGACCCACAATGACTTTAGGAAGAGAATTCCAGTACTTTAACCCAGCAACAGTAAAGGAACAACGATATATTTCCAAGTCAGGGTGATGAGGAACTTGCAGGAGGCGGTGTTCCTGTGTATCTGCTGTCCTTGCCCTTCTAGATGGAAGTGGTTGTGGGTCTGGAAAGAACTGTCTAAGGATCTTGGGTGAAATTTTGCAGTGCATCCTGTAGATAGTACACACTGTTGCTACGAGCGTTGGTCATGGAGGGAATGTATTTTTGATTTTAATTTTACCAAGTTCTTCTCTCCCTTCCACCTCCTGATTTACAGCTATTTATTGGAATGTGTTTCGTATCTAATATAGTGAAGATGGAAGTAGAATGTTTGTTCATTTCAGAGAACTAACACTCGTTTTACTTTTTTTTTTCCTTTTTAGATATCTGCAGAAATGCTTGGTATCAATTTTTACATTTCTAGCTAGCTTCCTCTCATATTCTTAATTTCCTCCTCTTGATTAATCTTTACTCATTCCACGTCTTTTTAATATTCTGATCAATCATCTGACCATCCACTAATCTTTATACAGCTGTGTGCTTCTTCCCTAAGTTTGATACTTTACTTGAATTCTTTAGTTAACCACATATGATAAGCTGTCATTTTAGAATTTTTCATTAAAGCAGTAATATACCTATTCTGAACATACTTATTCTGAAATATCATATTCAATGTTTGCCACCGCACCTCAATCCTTGAGCCTGTAATGTCAGTTCACTTCATTTCAGCTCAGTTCTCACGCTCACATAGTTGTCCTTATTCAAGTTTAAAAAAACAGTATTAGATCCATTCTTCTTCCTTTTAAACTGGATGTAAAATTCAAATATATTGTGGTCACGAGTTTGAGTACCGCTACTCTGAAATAATTAATCAAATCCTGTCACGTTGTGCAATAGCAAATCTAATATAACCTGCTTAATCTACTGACCTATTTTTTAATGTGGTTTCTCAGTTCACCTCAGCCAACTGTCTTCATCCATACCCTCATACTGCCCTTATTTAGGTTTCAACACTGGTCATGGACGCACACTTGTTCCCTTCAAACTAAACATGAAATTCTATCATGTTATGATCTCGATTACCTAGAAGCTTCCTTGCTATTGGGTTATTGATTAATTCTGTCACATTGCCAGTTCTAGAATAACCTGCTCCCTTGTTGGTTCTAGAACATACTGATCTAAGAAATTGTCCCAAAAACATTCCATGAACTAGTTTTCCAGGTTACTTTTGCCAGTCTGATTCCCCAAGTGTACATGTAAGCTAAAGTTATCCATGATTATTGTGGTACCTTTCTTACGTGCGGCATTACTTCTCCCTGTATGCACTATCTGACTATGCAAATACTGTTAGGAGGCCTGTAAATGACTTTATCAATGACCTCTTACCTTTACTATTTTTTACTCTACCCAAGCTGATGCTGCATCTTGGTCTTCAGGTCATCGATCATTCATGCTGAAGTAATGCCTCCCTAATTAACGGAGTTGCTCCCACCTCCACTTTTTCTAACTTTCAGTCATTGCGATATGTCAAATATCTTTCAACCTTCAGGTTCCAGCCTTGATCGCCTTTCAATTTTGCTTTGAAAGAGAGCCATTTTTCTTGAATTTCCCCAGCTTGCTTTATAGAATGACCAAAGAGCATTTCAGTAAGAATTTAGATGGTGAAGACTGAGTCACACTATGGAAGCATTTCACTGAAGGCAACAGTGAAATGTGAAGTTTTCAATAAAACTGCAGTGCA